GGCCCTCGTACGCATCCGATGCAGCTACGCGAGCGTAGATTCTTGCCATTATCGCCGTGGTAAAGATTGGGAGATAGGGGGCGGCAGACGCTCGAGCAGTTCCGGCGACCTGTCAACAGGTGTGTGTCCAGGTGCGGTATTTTAGGGACCTTAGTTCGGGGAAGTCCTTAGAAGAAGGTACTTTGTGCTCGCAGCCTGTTTCACTGCGCTGGTCTGCTCAGTGAGGAGGCGCACACGTGGCCAAAACACCGAAAGGTTCGAAGGAGCGCGCACCGGCAAGCTGACTCGGGCGGGTCGGGGAGCGCAAAGTATACGAGTAAATATATATATATATATATATCTTTTTTTTCAGCAAAGCTGCCAAATATTAGTGTTGCACAAATTATGCTCGTAGATACGGTATTCTAGGCACCCTTCCTAGGCTCGGGAGACGCGATCAACCATATAAAGTAACAACGCTGCGTGCCCATTAGTTCGCTTGCCGCAGCGGATACCTATCGACGGGATGACGGAACTTTAAGACACAAATGTGTTGCTATAGCCACCAACGTATCTGGGAAATGTAAATAAATTTTCTAGCCTGAAAAGGCAGCCATAGCTTGTTAGGAACTAAAGCTGGAAGCGTATGCTGCATTTTCTTCCCACGAACAAGCTCGATCGTGCTGCGAACACGGGCGTTGCCAGCAACCACGTTGATTGCTTAGCAGTGGCACATAAAACTTTTTTTTTTTTAATTGGCGTTGTCCCGGCCACGGTCCTGGCGATAGATATTTGTTACCAATGCTGGCCTAACAGGCGGGCGCTGTTGTTACATTACGTGGTTAAAAGCACCTTGCAAGTGAGATGAGGCGGCATCTAACCCCTTGGTGAAAAAAAAGGGGGGGGGGGGGAAGGTGTAGCGGTCAGAACATTTCTTGGATAACTTTAAATTCTTAACGCCAAAAAATGGGGACAAAAGGAAGTGATGTAGACGACATGAGTTATGCATCTTTACCAAACCACCCAACTTGCCGGACATTTCTTGGACTTGGTTGTAACCCGTGCAGAGAATGCTGCTTGCTTGATCCACCTTTGCTGCTGACCCGCAGGTCACGGGATCGAATCCCGGCTGCATTTCCGATGGAGGCGGAAATGTTGTAGGCCCGTGTGCTCAGATTCGGGTGCACAATAAAGAACCCCAGGTGGTCACAATTTCTGGAGACCTCCACTACGGCGTCTCTCATAATTATATGGTGGTTTTGGGATGTTAAACCCCACATATCAATCAAATCAATGCTTAATCCACCTTCGCTGCAATACACCGATGCCCTGCAGAAAAGTGCGTTAAAATTTGGAAGGGGCTGTTAGGACTAGTCACAGGACATTGCACATTTTATTCAATTACTCATGCGTTTGTACGCTGCATAATTTTGAGTACCAGTATAATCACTGACGTCTAAATAAGTTACTGGCAGTCATTTGGCGCCTGCTTCGACGTTCCTGTTTTGATAAAAAAAAAACAATTGTTTGCCTTTTTTTTTTGTTGCCGGCCCTACTTTGCGGTTTTGTAAATTTCCCGAATGTCGAAGTCGCTAGCTTGGCAGATCCATATTTAAATTTACAGAGTTTGTCGAATGATTTGACAGGTGTAGCAAATGCTAATATTGACTTTACCATTCATTGCTCACTTTACCATTCATTGCTCAGTGGGGTGGTTCAAAATACCACTTTCATTCAAATAGCAGAGCTCATGTTCACACTGCGCGATTTAGGTTATGTTGAATTGTTTTTACATTTTTTTTAAATGTATTGCTTTTTTATAATGATCCAAATTTGGTATTTTATTATAAAAAATGCATGTTATTTTTTTGTAACCTGCTTCAAATTCGAATTTTAGTGCTCCAAAAGTAACATTTTGCTGCTACAAAAATTGCTCGAAATTGTATTTCGGCTATTGCACCCCTGTTATTTTTAAACGCTGAACCTGCCTGGGCAGCCCTCTAGATGTCGTTTTCCCTGACCGTTTTTTGCTACATGCCCCCTCCGACCAATGGCCCCCCCACTGCTCTGTGCATCACCAGACGAGCCTTGTGTTTTCACACTACCACCGATCTTTCGAAGAGCGGTCTTTGCAAGAGCTTGCGCTACGTCCTACCGACTTTTATTATTTGCGACTCATTCTGTGTTTATGACCTGCTCTCGCTCACTTCGCTCTAGGCACGCATGCAGAAGCGTAAAAGTGACTGTTATACAGAACGAATTGCCAATAATTGAAATTGGCGGGGCTGCACATGTCCGCTGGCACCACAGTGCGATTCTTTGACCTCTGCGCGCGCAGTCCCATGTTCTCCTACGCGCGAGTTGTGAGTTTTGTGGACCCTGCAAGCAAGCTACCCGACTTGCCTTCTTCCCGCGTGTTTTGGTTTTTAAGGTCGCCTCCCCGCCGTATGCTCCCCCTGTGGGGTCTTGACGAGGTGAGCGAGCGCCACGCCACGCTCTTGGAGTGAACGGACACAGCAGTCGCGATCGGTACAAACCAAACGTACACACATTTATTCAACTAATTTAGACAATATCATCCGCCAAATGATGCACCAATCGTGACCAACCCACTAGGACATCCTTACACACAATTTCCATACACTCCAAAACATGACAAACACAATAACATGACAAACACACAATAACACACCCAAGGCAGCATCGCCAACGCTTGACTTACCATGTGGGCCCCTCGGCGCGCAGGCCTGCGGGGCCACGCGCCGAGGACCCACGCTAGAGACAACTGTTCGCGGCAAGCGCCACGCGCAGAAGAGCCTCGCTCAACTCTCGCCCGTCACCAAGGCTTGCTTCCGCCAGGGGTCACCGCCGGCGCTACCACTGTAACAACCATGATGATGATGACAGTGATAATCAGTGCCACTGACCACCCGGTAGTTGTAACCCGAAATGCGGCTTTTGGGCGAGACACGTGCGCCACATGGGGCAAAGAACTTTACAGGGGTGTCATTACCCCCACTTCACTCTCTCGCAACACCTTCGCCCGTCCCCACTGCTCCGCGACGCCAACCACGCTAGCTACTGGCTTGAATTCAGAAGTTCCGTTTTCTGACTAGACACGGGGCCAGAGCAGTTCCACGCATGCTCGCTTCTATGTCGCGCTGCTCATCTTGCTCACTGTTTGGTGTGGATGTGTGGTCAGGATGGCCTTCCGCATCTTTTTTTCTGCCGCTCAACAAAACGTCGCTAGTGTGGGACTGCTTGGCTTGGGCGTACTCCGCTCATTTAAGGCTTATCGTTTGCTCATATCTGTTGACCGTCCGGCACCCAACTTGCCGCTTCAGGTGTCCCTGTATTCAGCTGTGGAGATGGTGAAAGTTTAGTGGGTGGCGGTGACGGCCAACGTTGGTGACGGCTACATGTGTGTGAAACTGTTTTTGTGAGGCTGACTTTGTTCATGTGGGACCCTATGCCGAGCCTGAAGCTTCCGAACAGGACCACACCGATGGCGATGTGTGGCAGTGAGTCGTCGACATGGGAGGGCGGGACGGACGTCTGTTTACATGATTTCATTACGGCGGACCATGATGCCAACACTGGGAAACTGTGCAGGGATAAAAGCATTGCGAATAAAGTGAACGGCAAGAGCGATCTGGAGGAATCGGATGATGACGACAAAACTTTGGAGCCAGTGCTCACAAGCGTGCTTGTGCTAATGGCCTCGGGCAGCTTGTACATGCCACAGGCCTCGGCGAGGAGCACGCTGCCGCTTTAAATAAACTCGAGGACATCCGTATCGCTTCTGTTCATTCAAACTCGTGTATCACAGACTTTTTTAGGAAAAAAATTTTCACTCAAAACTTTTTTTAAAGCTGTGTTTCATTTAACTACGAACTTCCGGACACAGCGAGCAGATGCCGCATCATGCTCAAGTTTGTTATAAGCTGACTCGACTGTATAATTATTGTAGCCCATCCCAACGGAACATTTGCCCAAGATGGTGAAATATTAGGGATGCACTAATTATGAGAGTAAAGGGGTATCTATCTAGCCGCCTCCGTCTGGGTGCTCTTGTGATGACGCCCTCAACTATGGGCAAACCCAAATACTTATGGGAGGGTAAGACGGTTTGAGGAGTATGGCACACTGGTAATGACAAAAAGAATGTGACAATCCGGTCGTGTACATCATCAAACCCTTTCTGCCAGACATGAGTGGCAGACATGAGCAGACACAAACCACGGGTGTGTGTATGCCGCAGGTGATGGACAGTTTATGTGTACCCAGGCATGGCAAGAACAGACTTAGGTAATTCTAACACGAGAGAGTTAAGAAAGAAGCTGGCACTGGCAGCGTTGACTCGACGAATGCAAAGAATAAATATCAGGGCCCCACCAGGAATTGAACCCAAGCATTCTGCGTGGTATACAAGGTTTCTACCACAGAGCCATACCAGGTGTCGATACTGCTTTGTAAAGAGACACTATTCAGGCATAATCTTTCATCTTATCAGATAATTCATGTCATTCCAGTGTCGCATCCATGTTAAGCACTCTAGACTTGCCTGACCTTTCATTGCACCGCGAATTGTCACGCCTTTACCTGCTTTGCACAATCCATCATTATATAACAGCCATTTTAAGGACGGCCTATTTCATCCTTCTCATTACATATCATCAAGGACTGATCATCGCTATAGCGTGGGCCTAACATCCTGTTGCACTAGATTGTGCAACGACTAGTTTGTTCTGAGAACAAGCACCTCCTGGAACCACCTTTCCACCTCTGTGGCGTGCATAATGGATAAAAAAATTTCAAGCTCGCTGTACAAGATATCCTGTAAATTTTCTTTTTCCCTCTTCGACCTGCACTTGTATTGTTTATGCGCACTTCTTTTCGTTGTGCCTTCAGGCCTCGAAAGTATCTTTAATAAAGAAATAAAGAACTTTTGTTGAAACTACTAGAAAAAAAAGTTCCGGCCTTTCTGCTTGTGGTTTTTATATTGTGTTTTATTCATGCAGGAAAGCCATGACCTGATCCACCGAGATGTGAAGCCATCCAATGTTCTACTTGACAGACAAGGTCGCGTTCGTCTTTGCGATTTCGGTATTAGTGGCCGCCTTGTGGACTCCAAGGCACGCACACGCTCTGCTGGTTGTGCAGCATACATGGCTGTGAGTTGCATTCATCACTTCAGAATCATTTTTCTCTTCTTTTTAAAGTGGACTTGGCTCTCTTGGAAGAAAAAATGCCTCGTATAGTTTTTACTTTCATTGCTTCAGTCACAGTGAGCTTCTAGACAAAAAGTTTTTCTGGGGTCACTTTGTAGAAATGAAAGCAGTCCACTATTGCATAGGTAACAAAGAATTCGCGGTCTTCATGCATGATCAGGAGCTGTGCAGACACCCAGGAATCTTGCTGGCAAAATCACATGCACGGTAAAACAACATACAAATTTAAATTTTTAGATCGTTCAAATAAAATGAAAGAGCCAGCATAGGGTCAAATTGACAATGGCAATGAACAAATTTTAAAAGTTTTTTGAAATACAGTAGACTCCCTTTAAGGCAAGCACAAAGGGACCACAATCATTTGTTCGTCTTATCAGGAGTTTGGCTTATCAGAAGTGCCCCCAAAAACCAAATGCTAACACTCCAAGTATGCCCAAATATGTTGCTTGAAAATGTTGAATTAAGCATAGTCATAATGGGCTGGAAAGGAACATGAAAAGCATCTATCTGGCAAAGCTTGATAAAAACTGTGCTTTCAAGTGGAGTACTCGATTTTGCAAGTTCATTTTAAATAGGCTCATGAATAAATTGCTACACATTTTAACAATAAATCTGTAGCACGACTCTATTTTAATTATTAGAAGAACATAAAAAGGAAGAGACAAGAACAATTTTTTTCCAAAGAACAAAAAATTTATTCTTGTGGCTGTTCACCTTCAGAAAGGCTGTTTTACTGGCTTTGCTATCACTTTTGGATATGCCTCCATTGCATACCGCTACCTTTATAAAGCCAAGATACACCAAGTTGCTTATGAAAGCGTGCAAGCATTTCTTTGAGGTTTTATTTTCAGCCCGCAGTAACTTCTCCAGAACGACATGCAGCTGAAGTTCTCCGTTTACACGACTCACAATCACAAGCTTCGAGCACGCAAAAAAGGCAGCCATATTTAGTGTGCAAAATGGCCTACCTTTGTTGTGCACTTTCATAATGAAAATGATGCATCCCAATTTGCTTCGTCTCTGTGGGAACAGGTATGACGCGCACAGGCCCTATGCAAATCAATGCAAACTGACCACAACATGCGCTCAGGTGCCATTGTGTGATGGTGATGACAATGCGTCTGACTCCTCTGATGGGAGTGCTAGCACTGCACGTGCGAATTTCGCTTCATGCGATTATAATGTACAGAAAATGTTTGTTCCTGTTTTCACTTTCTTTTGGCTGTCTTTTGCCCTCTCCCCCTCTTCCCTTGCATTTTCCCCTCTAGCAAAGCTCTTGTGTTCTGTTCTCCACTGTTCTCCTGTTAAAGAACTGAAGAATGTGAGGAGAATACGAAAGGACTAACGTTTTCTGTTACTTTTTTTGCTGATAAATCCAGCCCTTTCCCTACCCACAGGCTAGGGGTGAGGGAGATACCAGCTTTATGCACTGACCTTTCTTTCCCACTTGTCTCGCTTCATCCCTCAATGTTGCAATTAGCTTTCGATTAGCTTTGCACTAGGAAAATTTTTTTTATTCATTTTACCTTTTCTTGTTTGCCTGAAGCCCCCCCCCCTCTCCCATAAAACAAGACGGTAGGCTATAATCTTTGTTGTGCAGAATCCCTGTCGTTGTTAGTTGCTGTGAGAGTTCATCTTGATAGAAGAGGCCTGTTAGACGGTTCGTCTTAAACAGATTTTTTTTTTTTTGCATTGAATCTATGGGAAACCAAACAAGCACTCCCGTGTTGTTCATCTTAAACAAGAATTCGTCTTAATAGAGTTCATCTTAACGGGTGTTTTTTTGTATAGTGGTTACAGTTAAACCTAGATATAACGAAATTCACAAATTTCAGGAAAAATTTATTATAAGAGAATTTCGTGATATGGAGGTTCAGTTTGAAAATTCAAAGAACGCACAAATTCAACAAAAAAGAGAACTGGAAACAGAACTAACCCAAAACACTTATTTAGCGGTAAAGAACTGCGTTTTTATTTAATTATATGGACACTTTGCGGTTGGCATTCGCCGCCATGTTTTATAACAAGTCCAAATTGATAACATGCCTGCGCGCATCGTAACTTTTATGCAGGTAAAAGCGCATGAGTGCTTTATGAAGGAGAGATTAAATGAGCCAGCCGGCCCATCTCTATCGCTTGGAGGGTGCATATAGAAACATCCCCACTACGTTTTAGAACTGCCGTCGAATGTTTGAAAGGAAACCACCTGTCTTGAATGAGCATGAAAAAACGAGGGATGGGGTCGCTCGAGTAGCAATGGTGAACTTTGATTTTAAAGGCCAACTCCGGTCAAAGTAATGGTGCTTTTATGTTCCCCAGATGCTTCGGCCTGGGCCTGATAAAATAAATACTTGGCAAAGTTTAGAATAATTTCAAATAAGCAAAAAAAAAACAGGATGTGTGCTGGCCCTTGAATATCTAGAAAACCTTTGAATTTGAAAAATGTGTTTTTGAGGCTCTTGAAAGTCCTGCAATTTTTTCCCATTCTTGAAAATTCTTGAATTTCCTGAGCACTGCCAATGGACATTGCGGCCTCCTTTATGTGGTAGACCGGCATACCTGCAAAGTCTCCCGAATTTTGAACAGTTCTTACGTTCGTACGACTGTCAGGAAAGTCTCCCAGAAATTGAAATTTCTGTGTGTGATCTGGCCGCATTGACGAAAATGCAGCCCAATCCAATCCAGGCTTTTTGTGAACCCATCGCATTTTATTGTGAATGAATTTAGGAGGTGTCACAGTAGAATCTCAATGATGCGAAACCGACAGCTATACGAATTTGTGAAGTTCCTCAGCCAAGTTCCACTATGTTTATTGGGCCAAAGTTCAGATGATCCGAGCTCTTTTTCTCATCGCGGCGGGTCGTATGAACTTTAGTGCCAAGGGCAGCTTGGTCGAAGCTTTGGAAGGACACATGGCCAGTGCACGCGCCAAGGTAAATGTAAACTGGTAGCGTAACTTCTATAGAAGCCCATAGATCCAGTAGTTGGTGGCTTGTTGCCACTGTCGCCATCTATGGAAGGAAGGGACAACTAACAGCAAACAAAGCATAAAATTAAAATATGACATCACAGCCGAAAGTGGTAGCGACACCGCGCATTTGCACTACATGGCGCGAAATTGCAATCTTTCTTAATTGGGGGCTGACCTTTCACGTGCTGTCAACGATACGTGGTTTTATTGAACTTATGGCTCACTAATTGCATGCGGGATTGATAAAAAAAATATTGAGAAAGCAAAGTTGTTTTATTAACCAAATGACGTACTTACAATATGCACAAAGACTTCGCCAATGCAATTGCGAGACAACTGTTCACGAGCACAATAGCTTTATAGTTTGAAAACTCACATTGCTCAATCGTCGAAAACCACTGCAGCAAGACAGCAGCTTTGAAAGTGTAGCTTTAGCAGCCGTGGAGTACAGCGTCTCGTTGCTTAGCATGTCGCGTTCACCGTCACAAAGGTGAGAGCACGCTGGCCACGCGCCAGTGAAAGCAGTCGCAGAAGCGGCTATCTACACATTCTGTGAGCTAGTTCAGCTCCGGAATGTCGCCCCAGTAAACAGAACATAAAAAATAAGTAAAATACTGAAGGGACGCACGAAACCACCACAGAAAAATAAGCAATGCCTTGTTGGCCTAGCAGTGCACCGAACCAAAGAATACGCCGAACTAAACACAAGCTCAGAAAGCAAATTGCCAGGAGACACCCCCCTCCCCCCATCCCCATGTATGGCACTCAACGAAGAATTGAGGCAATCAACCATTTCGCTATGTGTGCGATACATCGTAAAGCAAGTGTATAGTTAACTTTGACATATGTAAAATTATGTCTATTTGATAAAAAAAAATATTTTGAGTTTTTAGTTTTGGTTGTTTGTCCCCTCCTCACTTAGTTGCGCTTCAATCATCGGCGGGCGTTGATGCCTGTTGCAATAGGTTTCCGACACTTTTCATTCAAAGTTACGCGACCCATGCACGCACGCACTGTCAGAACTGCGATTATCGTTTGCCACAACTGCTGTGGACGAAACCGTGGTTGCGCTTGACATGATCACGTGTGGCAACGACGTTACAGAACTCCAAAAGTGCGCGTGCCTTCAACACACGACCAGTTAAAGCAACATTGCATTCCATCCACAAACACAGCGGACAAAATCGCAGCAGATGCAGTCATAACAAAAACAAAAATGGTTTTGAAGGTATACACTTGTGGGTTGAATACAAAACTACCGGTTTCAGCGACCACGACGTGCGAAGTCGCGGTTGCAGATGTAGTTAACACAGTGGTAGAGGCGATAAAGATGTAAAAATTATTAAAAGCGTTTGGCATTCCATCAAAAGAATAAGTCATGTTGTTCCTGTCGATCTGGGTGCTTTGGCTATACTTAGACGTTAAGTTTTCAGTTGGCCTTAAGCAAAGCTTCGAGCCATCCCGCCAACCGGCTGCGTCGTCTCGTTCATTCGCGTGTGTCCCAGGAAGACATACAAGAGTTCTTTTGACAGAAATAGATTTTGCTAGCTGTTTTGATGTTAAAAATTTTGAGAGATACAAGTAGTATGTTTGCACTCTTTTGAGACTCGCACTTTTTACTGTAGTTGGTAAACCCTACTCTCGGGTGTTCAGCCACTCCAAGTCGATACGACACTGCGCAACGCTGATGTTTACTGACACCCCCCTTCCCCCCCCCCTTTATTCACAATGTTTTTTTTTTTGTGTGCAAAAAAAAGAAAGTGTGGAAATGAATTGGTGCGAAACCCCCTCTTCCTCTTCACGTTGCGGAGGTCGCCCAGATTCAGAATCCTTGAACTTGGCAGGTACGGATCAACATCGACCTGACCAACTCTCCATTTCTGAAACAGTAATTCGGCGTCAGTTGATACGGTATTGTTTTCCAAATCTGCATGAGCAATAAAGTTTTACTGTGTCAAATCACGAACAAACGAAGTGAGAGACTCTTAATGCTCTTCAGTGCTGGCTCTTTTTTTATTCTGCGAGCGGTGAAGCTTAAGTGAGCTGAATTGCAGACTAGACATGTTTGCTATAATTGCAGTATGCATGTACTATAAAGTGCAATAAAAATGAGTCAATTTTGAAACATTTAGAGTAAAAAATTTTCAACATTGCGTGCCGCTTTTAGTCTTTGAAAAACTTGCCACAGGTCCTGGAAAGCCCTTGAATATCCTTGAATTTGCTCTTTGAAAACCTGTACGAACCCTTAAAAAAGTGCAACACTGAAACTCAGCTGCAGTACTATCATCGTGTGACATAAGCGTTGGTAAAAACCATGCAAACCATAATCCGTGCAATGCATGCCAGCCTCACGAGCGCGAAGTATGAAAGCTGCCTGCGAAATCTGCGAAGAGCAAATGCTCAGGGGAAGGGTAACCCCATTGCAACGGCCGCACCATGTCTGTTACTTAGTGTGCTATGTGCACAAGCTCTTCGGAGCTGTCGAAAAAGGACAGCTGAAATTCAGACGGATGTGAAGGCCAAGTAATATTGCCAAAGAGGAACGGCGATTGCTGGTTGTGCATTCCACTGTCAGATGGCGTCTCACCTGTCCAGGCCGCTCAAGTTTGTGGGGCCGTGATTGGTAAAATGCTATCACTGAGAAGTTCGCGAACTATTTGAAGCCTCTTAATATTGCTATAGGAAGAGTGCATATGTCTGGCAATAGTGGCAGGGCTGAGAGAAGTTAATTCAGCAACTTGGTGTATCTTGGCACAACACGTTAGGCCCAGTCATGGTGTGCACTGTGTACATTATAAAAAAGTGTTTCCATGCAGTAATGTGCTCGCTTAGTACACTGCCGTAACTTTCACGCATGGATTCTCTTCTGCCAGTACTGTATTAACACAGTTTCCATGAAGTGAGCTGGCACTGCTAGCTAAAACATCATATAATATCAAAACAAAGGGTAATCATAGCCTTTGAGTGTTCGCTGAATGTTCAGATAATTATACAAGGAATCGTGTGCAACCACAATGCAACACCACATGCCACCTATCGCTAGCAAGCTCACAACGAACTGAAATTTGCGCACCGAACCAGCGAAGTGTTGCACAAGCAAAACACACAATCATCGCCTTGAGAACAGCAGACGATTTACTAGCTCATCGGTTCCGTCGCTTTGATGTAAGCATTGGCACACAAGCGCAATGTTCCCAGTAATTGTTGGAAGCCAGTTGATGGAAGCCAGTTGGTAGAGTCGGAGCAATCTATAAAATTCACTCACAAAAAATCTGCGTATCTCTGAAGCCTGTAGTTGGGCAGAAATGATGAAAACGTGCAAATAAAACGTACCCAGCGAATGTCATTGAGATCAATTGACCTAGAAAAATTTCCGGAGTTGACCTTTAAGGGCGTCGTCGCTATCATTGGCGCGCATGCTATCTCGGCAAGCATCAGTGTGCTTTCAACGCGAAGAGACTGTGTGAAAAGAGCACTTCTCTTTGGAGCCACCATATTTGCTTAAACAAGCGTTTTGTAGGAGTTCTGTGATATCAGATCCAAAAGAGTTGCTGTCAGCCTTACTTAGTATAGCATTACAATTCGTTGCTATCATGTTCATTGCATTGCATTCAATGCGACATTATGTTGCTCACAGAGCTAATCGGCTAATAACAAAGGCTACAATTCCGCAAACTCGCGGCGCGGCACAAAACGGGAGCATGTAACGAGTCGACCTCCGAAAATCTGTCGTTACAGTGGTCTCGGAGAGTTCCCATCAGCGCTTAATATGACATCCCCTTGGTAGTGACGGCATGCACCGTCGTTCGTGTGGAAAAAAAAAGAGAAAGAAAAAAAGCTGAACGTCATCAGGGGCTACACTATGCACACGCAGTGATACCACGTATGTGCGCACGGTGCCAAAAACTATGAGTGACCGACATGGACATCAGGGAAACTATTCGGTAAAGTGCCCTTCCTTATGCAGCGCAGCCTCACTTATGTAATGTTAACTAAAAGCGTGGCACAGTGCCAGCGCAATACTACTTTTATTTTGTTTTTCGAATAGGGGGAGGGGGAGGGCATATCCCTGTGCATGCGCCCACAGCGGCAGGAATGGTAGACGACGGCGAACTGCTCCACCGTAAGCCTCACATTATTTATTTATTTATTTATTTATTTATTTATTTATTAGCAATACCCTCAGGGCCAATGGCATTATAGAGGGAAGTGGGTACATTAATAAGAATAACAAAAAAAGCAGGGAGAGAAAACATATGAAACAAACATCTTATACAAAATTAGGCAAAACAAAAAAACGCAGCAAGCAAGCATAACTGTACACAACAAGCAAGAATTACAAAATGTTGACTATGGCATTTTTGAAAAGCGTGTGATTTACAATGGTTATTGTAGGAGAGGCGTGGACCCGCATGCCCGCCTCGCACACACCTGCGCTCACGAACGAGTGCTCGCTCTTGCCTGGAAGTTGCTGGGGGCCACGAGCCCACCGCCACTGCTTCGTGTTTGTCGGCGCCAGGGCAACCGTAGAAGATGCATGCTCGTGCCAAAATGACAAAAATCTGAGGCATAAATCCTAGCTTGTTCGTGGTAAAAATTCATTAATCAGGGATGACACTTTTCTACACAGAGGTCACAAATACATGTGCTTCTATGGAGTAACGGTGGGGAATAAAAAAACTTATGTCGAGGAATTCGTCATATGGAGGTTTATTATAAGCAGATTTAACTGTATATGCCCGGCACCCTAAATACTTGCTAAAGTTGCATCTTATGATATGCTACACACATTTATGTTCAATTTCTACAATAGCCAAGCCAACTTTTTTGCCTGCCAACAGGCTAGAAAAATCCAGTCTGGCACAGCTTATTGCAACCTGGCAAGCATGCCCCCATCAACATAAAAGTAAAAGTTTTGCTTCTCCGAGCCATGTCCAATGACACAACCCTGCTGCTACTATCTTGCCTGATAATCTGAAATAACTTGCCTGATGAGCCAGCTTCTGTAGGTCAAGTCTTACTGTCATTCAGTCATTGTTAATACTTTTCTACTGCCGCATTATGCAATGGGATGTCTGCAGCAGTAAGTTGTTGTTGATTTCATGAACAGAGCTTTGTTTTGTATCTAGTTGATACAGGCATTGAATAGAATTTGGTAGAAATAGTAATCATTCATTGTGAATGTTGTTTTGTCGTCAATAGTATCTGCCAGAGTCGGGCCAAAAATTGTTTTTTCGCAAGCAATATGTGTTCCGTACATTTACTGGCCCCTAGCACAACACATACATACTACACTCAAACCTCATTATAACGAAATTGTATCTTTCATGAAATCAAGTAAGTTATATTTGAAAATGCGTTATATGTGTTCTGTACATTTACTGGCCCCTAGCACAACACATACATACTACACTCAAACCTCATTATAACGAAATTGTATCTTCCATGAAATCAAGTAGATTATATTTGAAAATGCGTTATAAAGGTTCATTCCTAACACTATAGCTATTGCAAGACTATCTTCATTTGCTTTGTTGCTACCGATATTTCGTTATGTCTAGGTTAGGTATGTTGAGGTTTGAGTGTACAACCATTGTGGTCATGATAGTTTGCCATTTTGGTCATGTGCTTGCGTCCTGGCCAGTCATGCTCTACTGATTATCCAGCAAAGGCGTATAGCAAAATTGAAATAAAGTGATTTGTCTCATGTATTGAATTAATTATAGTCTAGTTTCTGGGAGTGTCCTGTGTTTGACTATTTTGATTGAAAGTCCACTTAGGCCAACGGGTATATTGAATTATGTAACTGCAGCATTTTTTATAATTCTATTACTTCATTTCTTTCACATTGTTTCAACAATTGTGTCAAAGGTTGATACAAATGTCTGTTCATAAAAAATTCTAGTAGCCTGCATTTTCATTGGGGCTTCCTTCTTTGGCTAACTTTCAAGGTATTTACTGATCAATTTTTTTTCCAGCCGGAGCGCATTGATCCACCAGATCCTACAAAACCCGATTATGATATTCGGGCTGATGTGTGGAGTCTTGGCATATCTATGGTGAGTATCTGCTAAAATAATATGAAAACTATTATGTGGTGGTGTGTACGAGGTTTTTTGCCCCGCCGCGGTGGTCTAGTGACTAAGGTACTTGGCTGCAGACCCGCAGTTCGCGGGATCGAATCCCGGCTGCGGCGGCTGCATTTCCGATGGAGGCGGAAATGTTGTAGGCCCGTGTGCTCAGATATGGGTGCACGTTAAAGAACCCCAGGTGGTCGAAATTTCCGGAGCCCTCCACTACGGCGTCTTTCTTAATCATATGGTGGTTTCAGGATGTTAAACGCCATATATCAATCGATCAGTCAATGTGTACGAGGTTTTGATTTTTGTTTAAGTTGGTTAGCAGTTCCATCCTTACATAAGTATTGATACATCAGAAGTTCCATGCCTTACGCTAGCACTTGCAAGGAAGTGTAAAGAAACACCTCTGCATGGACCGGCATTCCAACATTTCTGTTGATGTACTGTTAAAACCATAGTGAAGGCCCAAATAGTAAGGAGTTTATATTTGATGACAGCAAAAGCCTAAAAGAAAAAAAATTAGTGTGTACAACACAAGTAGGTTAAAAAGAAAGTTAACATGGGAACATTCTCTGATGTGGGACTATCTTCTTAGTCTTCTTACAGTGCAACACACAATAATGTACTGAAATGTTCATAATTTCATGCTATCTGATCAAATGTATAAGTATTTTAGTCAGCCTTGTTACGTTTCTTCATAAAATGAATTTGAACAGGTGCTCAAGTTGTGTGAATTAGTTTTGAGTGGGCTGCAAGCATTACTCGAGGCTAAAAAAATCTTTCGAAATTTGCCACCTAAACGGGTCAAGCATCCCATCTGCCACTTTGCTCTCAGAAGCAGAATATTTTACACATAAGTAAAATAAACCAACTTTACTTACAAAGAATATTTAGTTTACTATAGTTCATAGCACAGTGTTTTTTGCATCTTTCTTGCCACTAGCACCTTTGCGGCACTTTCACTCATTCTACTGATGCAACGTATAACCATGACTGGCAACTCTGATCGATGCCCTACAGCATTCTGTTAGATTTCTTCCGGCTCTATCAGTATGAGCAAGTGCAACATAGAAAGCCTTGAAATTATGACCAAGCAATGTCTAAATTTCATTCTTTTATTCACTGCATCCAATGGTGGTCATTTTCTAGATTTAGCCAGTTCAGTTGTGGGAATCGAGGCTAGCCCACCTCCTTTGCGTGGGCTTTGCCGACTCTTTCTGCCTTCTCATGTCCCGACATGACTTCCCTCCTTTACGGTGTGCCGCACTGGCAGAGCGAGGAGTGACGTTTAGCCCCTCTCACCTGGTAGGGGATGTCGACTGTGGCACCGTGCGCAAAGCCTTCCGGAACGTATTGCGCGTGCGCGTCGGGAGTGAGAGAGAACCTCTCCGGGAGGTCATGGGGTAAGCACGCATTTCTTTTTTATTCGTCGGCTCCCTTTGTTTGGGGCCCTTCCGGACTTCACTAACGATGCCTTGCGCCTGGGGCGAAGGCTTACCTTTTGTCGCCCCTACCGAACGCTAGGCCGAAGAGCAGTGCGGTGTCCTAGTGCGTGGCCAGGCTACGCCGACCCGTATTTTTGCGAAGCCATTGCGAGCGCCTTTGCTCTCGCTCGAGCAACCAGGCCCTGTGTCCCGGTGTCCCTGTGAATCACTTTTACCACAGAGACGGGCTCGCGGCACCCCTGTGTAGTACTTCTCGCCTGTAGTGTAGATCAGCCCATTTGCTTCTCGCCGCGCCTTTGCAACGGGCTCTGTACTGCATTTCTGGTGTTGCCACAGACAATAAAGTGTTGCGACCTTGAGCAGTACCGTGTTCTCACCACGGCAACGGTTAACGCATGCCCTGCTGCTCGCTAATACTGGAACCACGCTAGTGGCCGTACTCCTTCGGGATACGTGTACACTACACTGGCGCCCAACGCGGTATCGAAAGCTCTAAGCTTTTGCCTGCTCTTGGCGGGTCAGGCACTTACAGGATGCAAAACAATGGCCCTTGAGAGCTGTCTTTAACCAATGATAATGCTGTCAGCGGGCCGTATCTTTCTAATGTTGTTTCGGAGTCTGAACACCAGTGCTTCCATGCGTCGTTGAACGGTGTACTATTTGAAAGATATGCTTTTTGGGAACTCCACAAAGTAGCCATTCAACAACTACTGGAATGAGCTCACTGCTTCATTGCCGCTAGTACAGACTAGTCCATCACTTTGTATTCCTCTCATTTCTGTGCATGAAAAACTTAGTTGCTATGCATTGTGCAATCTACTTAAGCAATTTAATGACACCACCTTTTAGCCATATGCACATACAAAGAGGGTTCACAACTCCTTTGAGCACGGTCATAAGGTGACCATTATTTATTAAAAGGAATGCATCTCCTGGTTTTTTAGTGTGGCTGTGCATTTGGTACATTGCATATGTGTGTCTTTTGGTGTTCTACATGTTTGCGCACATGTCATGTACTTTCTTTGTAAAATTTACAATGGTCCTTCTTCACTATTCGATATAGCCGCTTAACTTTGATATATCTGGAATCAACTGCATACATATGAGCCCCGCCGCGGTGGTCTAGTGGCTAAGGTACTCGGCTGCTGATCCGCAGGTCGTGGGATCAAATCTCGGCTGTGGTGGCTGCATTTCTGATGGAAGTGGAAATGTTGTAGGCCCGTGTGCTCAGATTTGGGTGCACGTTAAAGAACCCCAGGTGGTCGAAATTTCCGGAGCTCTCCACTCCACTCCACTTTCATAATCATATGGTGGTTTTCGGACGTTAAACTGCAAATATCAATCAATCATCAATCAACTGTATATATGAGTTTTTGTGGGAACTTGAGAAACCAGCTTTTCGATTATCATTTCACTACAATTTTCAAGGCCTGTTAATCTTTTACATTTCATGGGATTGTCAAAATCTTGGCTAAGCTTCTTGGATTGTTTCTGATCACCTGTTTCTATATATGATGCCATTTAAAATGATCAAGTTATTGGGAGGTGCAGTTGATGGTTCTTGATGTTTTCTCTATACATTATTTATTTGTATTCAGAAACAAAAGCACTTACATTTAATGAGAATGGTGTTGCCATTTATTGTGTTGGAAGTCTTTGTGACCGTTAGATATTTTCCAAAACTGTCATGAACATTGTTGAATATATGAACAAGAGAGAAATTTTATGGGCTCATTTTTTGTTTCTTCATTTGTTTGTTTGTTTGTTTGTTTGTACTAATTAAAAGTAAGAGACATGAATGCCAAGGAAAGTATGGGGGATATTGTTTGTATACTCGTGGACAACTTTTCTTTGCAATGAAAATAAAGCTACAGGGGCAAATTCATTGCATGTGTACTTCGCCAAGTAGTTCGATGCAGCTCACGTTTGAAATCGGAGTGATAACGCTGCCTGCAATTTGCTACGTCTGCTTAGACGGTCATTTGTCAGTGAAATTCGTCACAACTTCTTTCGGCGAGTTGTCGGAATAGCTGCTGAGTGACGAGCACCCTTCTAATCAAAGAGGAAGACGTTAATTTAGATGTGATGTGCACATAAAATGTGCAAAATGGTGATGTTTAAAAAACTAAAACAAATATGAATATCTCCTTGGTGCGTGTTGTGTCTCTTCATTAATGTAGAAAATGAAGTAATGTTGTTTTGTATGATTTTTCACGCGGAAAACATGGACACAGTTGTGGGACTATATTCATCAGCGGGGACACACGCCTCACTTTGGCTTCGTAATCTTTCTTTTATTGCCTAGAAAAGTTGTTCACGACTGTAGTAGTTATGGTATAAATGTGAAGGAAGTAAAGTGGACAATACGATACTGTGCTGCCGGCAGGGACAGAACCTGGGTGTACGTTGAGAAAAATGAGCTTGTGCCATCGTGCATGGCGCTCTTGTTGCAGTGTTGTTTACAGCTGCCAACTTCTTCCTGCAGGTTGAGCTTGCCACTGGCCAGTTTCCTTACCAGGATTGCAAAACTGACTTTGAAGTTCTAAGCAGAGTCCTTCAAGATGAGCCTCCTTCATTGCCTGATGATGGCACTTTTTCACCGGAGTTCTGCTCCTTCGTCAGGCAGTGGTTAGTTGATGTTATTTTGTGCAACTGGAGTTGTTGAAATTTGGCTTTGATGTTTTCTGCTTGTTTTTCAGCCTCACAAAAGACTACAACAAGAGGCCAAAGTACAAGAAACTTCTGGTGGGTAGTTTTGTGTGGTTGTCAGCTGGTTAAAATATTGATATAGTGTAGAAAATCTCTTTAATTTGGATTTCACTAGACAGGAATAGATGCTTGAATTAACTGAAGGATAAATTATTGAGAGTATCAATATACGTGTTGGTGTTTAACATCCCAAAACTGCAATATGGTCATGAGGGATGCCGTAGTGGAGGGTTTCAGACATTTTGACCACCTGCACCTAATTCTAAGCACACGGACCTCAAGCATTTTCTGCTCTGCCGAAAATGCCGCAGCCGGTATTCGATCCTGCAATCTTCAGGTCAGCAGTTGAGCACTATTCAGGCTATCAAGAAAGCAATAAACAAATGCATGCCACCAGCGTGCCAGGTTTGGCTACTTTGCACCAATTTGCTACTTTTTTTATGCCAGGGACGACATAAAAGTAAACTTCGCAACTTAGCTCTTTTTTGGCTACTTTCTTGTTCTCTCGATTTAATCAAAGCTATTGATATCTGGTGAAGTCACAGCACTAGTGTTCGAGTATATGGTATCAAACATGGCAGCCAAAGTGTGCGTCCAGCTCCAAACATTTAATTAAGCACTTTAATTATGCAGATAATGATCTCTAATTAAAGTGATAAGGGCAATTGCATATTAAGTAGGTGTAAGGTTCAATGATGGTGATCGGAAAATAAATCTAAGAAAAACTACCAGTTAAACTTCTAGTAAAGCAGACTTCTCGCATAGAAGAAAATTGTGTACGTGGCTGGCACTCCAAACTATTGCGTGAGGCCTCATTTTACGAATCACCCGTTGCTGAACGCGATTTGACACCTAAGTTGGAAGTGAAAGCAATCCAAAGCGCTCCGCTTCCAAGTTAACCTGCTCTTATCAATATTAGAAATTGGATATTATATTTCAAGTGAGCATTGGAAAACCTGGATACATATGGCAAAGGTGGCAACACGAGCTTGATCAACAGTTATTAGTGAGTACTTGTATTGCCACCTTTGCCTCTTGTATCCTGGTTTTTTGGGGATCACTTTAAAATGTCGTACCGACTAGTTGAACAATCAATTCTTCCAGGATATCCGACAAACAACTTCTAGCATTTATAAGGCTTAGGTGTGGATGGAGATCCTTGATTCGTCATCATGGGAAAAGTTATTCCAAAAGAGGCAACAATTTGTGCTTCAGTGCCAGCTACCATGATTTCTAATGCACTGATCATGCTGTAGTCTTTTTGTTTTGCCGTAACTTTAAGTCATTTCCAGAAAAAATAATGCAAGATGCGTAAATAGCCCTTTTATTTTCAGCAGTGCGAACACTACATCATCATGCGTGAAATGATTGCTGAAGTCAATAACTTGGGCTGTAATCACAACAAATATATTTTGAAAGTGTTAGTGCTGCACAGATCTACATGTTTACTAAAAGGTTTCTGCATTTAGTCATCTAAGTAAAAATGTGAAAGTAGTTTTAATACATTGATGACTAGTTTTGGCTACTTTTACTGCATGTGGCTCTTTCTGGCAACCCTGCCGGTATGGTTGTCTTAGTGTTAATCATGCCGTGTTTGCATTTTAACAGATGTCAGCTCTATTAAACGGTTTCCCAAATATTTCAAAATTAGGTGGTGTATGATGTTTTTTGTCACTCTTGTGAGCTAAAAATCAAGAAGTACTGTACATATGCACAAAACACACATTGAGGAAAAGTAGGCAGCAATCTTATGAGATGTGTTACTGAAATATTGTTGCAGGAACATGCCTTCATAAAGCGGTACGAAACGAAAGAGGTGGATGTAGCAGCATGGCTAGCCAGAGTAATGGACAACTCCCAAGATGGCCAGTGAGAAAAGGTGGCTGATAAAGGCTCCCATGGAAGCAGCAAGCAGATGCCAAATCGAATGCTTGGTTTAGTTTCCAACCAGCAGCGGTTTTGCCCTCACATGTCGACCCCCCCTCCTTTTTTTTGTCATGCAACTGAGGAGGATGGCACAGCACCAGTGTATAGGATCTACATAAGAGGCTGGCAGGTCATGCCCATTTTTCATAGCTGTCCATCTTGGTGTTGCAGTGTGGAGCAAGGTATATAGGATGCAGTGTACACGAGATACCAGAATCTGTGGCAATGGCTCACAGGTATCTTTCTCACTCATGCCCGATTCCCCCCCTCCCCCCTGATATTACTAGCTTTAATATCTTGGTGATACTGACACAGAATTCAGCAGATAAGAGAAGTCCAATTGGGAAGAGACACTGGCCATGTTTTAGCTGCTTTTTTTCAACTGGTCTGCATTGAAAGCTTTCAGTGCTTTCTGTGTACCTTGCTCCATGCAAAATTGCTTTTGCATAAGGCCCACTTTGGCTTGATGAGCAGTACAGTCATTTGGATGCTCCAGTGCCATTGCAATGTTGTGGAGTACGTCGCTTCTATTCTTTGTCCTCTGTTCCTGCTTTGAGGCCTAAGAAACACCATTGGCCACAGAAAACTGCTCACAGGGTTGAAGACCACGAGCAGGTACTGCAAATGTTACCAGCTGGGAGGATGAGTTGCGTGTTTTTTGTTTGCCTCTGACAACCACTTTCCCATGCAAAAGGAAGGTATCTTAATGTTTTTAGAAAAAGGTTATATTTACTCTGAACAAAAAATAATCGACGTGTTTTGCACAAGCCTGATATTTGACAGCAGGCATGATGGGCACTGCAGGGCTACATCGCAGCATGCAGAGTATTGTTCTCATTTTGATAAGTTGAGAATTTTGAGGCTATGCCAGTTTTGTAGTTTTTCAGCTGCTAAGGAATGTATGAGGCAATTTTTATTCCAGATGAGTTCAGGTTTTTACAAATCGACGTATTTTTATAGTGTGTAGCACCATTTTGTACATATATAATGTGTGTGTCTGTCTGTCTTTAGTGTACATTATAAACATTTTAATGCTGATGATTTTCAGTGAGATGAAAGGGAATGTAACTTTTCATTTTTTTACTCCTTACTGTAAATTTTAAGCTTCCTGTGTTACTACTGCAGCATATCTATCTTTGTGCGCAGCCACCATGCTCAGACAGGAAACATGTGATCCTGCTTTTTGTGGCCACTTAAGTGGCTTTGCATTAGGACCTTCTTTCAATGCATTTATTTTTTGTAAATGCTCATGAAAGCAGCCTGGTGCATGGTCCTTAGGACTTCTTATTAATGCTAAGCATTAGTTTGTAAGTGCCATGTCCTTCTTGCTAGTTGCTCACTATTGACAAAACAATTATTTCCTGTTGACTTTTTTGCTTTTTATTTGACTTTTTTTTATTGAGCAGGAGCATTACATCTTCCTTTCCACAGCTTTTTCTTGCCGAGGCTTCTATATTTTCCAAGAATTATCTGAAAGGAAGATGTCACGGCTGCATTAATTCTTATTTAGGTACTACAATATTTGCAATGTCTACGAACTATAGGTGGTGTATTGTACGACTCAAGATGGCACATGGAGGAGGGTCAACCGTTCGTTAGTATAGGAATAGATAGCACATGTGGATGTATGGTCCGTTCCACTTTCACGGGATGAAGTCATGAACTGCACCAAAAAGAATATGAAACTGAAATACTTTCTCAAACCATGGAAGCTCGCCACCTAATTATTTTCCGTAGTATGAAAGGTTATATTTTAGCTCTGTGACCAAGCATAAGCAATGCCTTGTAAAATCGGGTGCGTGCTGCAGAAAACTTCATGAACGAAGATTCACATATGAACTGAACGACACTCTGAAGTAGTATGCATGTGGAGCAGTCGTGCCTAATGAATTTGTTGCAGTACTAAGCCGCCAGCAAGTAGCGTCATCGCTGCTGCACAGGACTGTATGTTTAACAGGTAATGGCTTGCAAACATATCTCGTCATCATTTCATGCACAGTCAGAAATGCGGAGTTGCTTCTTTAACATACCACAAGCATTTAACATCCCATTCAGTAGTGCTTGTGTTGCAACCATGCTCACACTCTAGCCATATGCAATTCACTGCATTCGGATGTGGCCGGGTCTATCAGCAGGATTGAAACATGGATATCGAAAAAGATACGAACGTATGCTTTTCACGCCTAATGTTTCGACATTGTGCAAATTCGTCGAATAACTGTGCCGTGCGGAAGGTGCATGTGAAGTACAGGAGAAGTTAGTAGAGAGGCTTGAATTGTGGCTGTGAATGCACATTTGATTGCTCTGACCATTTTTCTTCGCTGGTCAAGCTAAATTGTGTTGGCAGCATACAGCACTCCATAATATCCACAATAATTGCACTACATGCAATGCACAAGAACTTTTCTTTTATTTTGATTTTGCTCAAGGATATTATACATCAGATACAGTCAAAGGGTCTTACAAGCATGAAGAAAGTAAAACACGAGGGGATGTGAGGGACAAGTCGCTACTCACGAGTTAGCAGCTGATCGTTCATCATTGCTGTCACTCTCAGTGCTTTCACATAGCCTTCTACGTCCAGTGAAAAATTCTCGTCGTCATGGCTTTTTTCAACATCACTGCTGAAAGCGATCTGAAGAATTTCTGCCGCCAAACGAATGTCATGGAGAGGTCGGTTTGTTAACTGATGCAGGAAACATGCAAAGTAGTACGGTTTTTTTCTTGGTAATGCCTTAAAAGGGCCCTGAAACACTTCTTCAAGTAACCTTGGAATGGAATCGCTGGGAGAGCTTATTGCCTCACAAACTCAATGCCGCAAAAATTTGAGGATTCCTTTCAATGTGAATGGAGTTACAAAGATTTGTTGCATGCTGCAAGTGCATTCTCTCTTGTCCTGACGAAAGCGCTGGAAGATAAGCAGCGAAGGATGGCAGGAGCAAAGAAAATGCGTCACCTGCACCTCGATACCTTTTTTTTTTCTCTTCGAATGCGTGGCTTCTTAAGTGTGATTGCGCGTGCGCACGTGGACAAGTAGCAGCCTCCCACGGCGATCTTTGTAACGACTGAGTGCATCATGTTCAGCCAATAGTTGATAGATGGGCTTTTTACAAGTGATTTTTGAGCGTCTTGCGTCATTTGTCGAGAAAAGAGAAAGCAATTTTTAGCTGACTTTGATAATTTATTGTGAATTCGAGGCCGCGTGCTGCGCTATAATATTTGGCTCGCGTGTTCTAGAGAGCCTCTACTATCGATCAGCAGCATTTTCTGACTATGCTCAAAAAGTGTTGCAGGGCCCTTTCAACACTGAGGCTAGCACAGCCAAACAAGGGAGCGATTGCGTGCCGCTGCCTTACCGACTTTCCTCACAAGGATTCTCATGAATTACGCTTAGCAGCGCGACAGTTTATGGGCATTGCGAATAATTTGCTCTTTACACAAAGATTTACTGCTTGGTTGCCTTCTCTGTGACACCTGCTTAAATGCTTGAATGCCTATAGGAATCACTTTTCTCTTATACAGTGTGTAAAATTACTACTGCTCTGTTACTGAGCAGAGATTCCCACGGCAAAAATCTAGCAGTGTCTACTTTTTTGGCCAGATAAGCCATTGTAGGGTGGAGTGAGACGCATATGTTTTAGACGTTTGGGCGAGAGCTTTTTTACACTTTATTTAGTAATTGAAAAGTTGCTGCCCAAGGTGGCCCCAGTCCTCTCGCTTCCAGTCCCTCTCTCTGTGCATGTTTGTGTGCTGTCCTTGTCCTTCTGGTTATTCTTTCTGCATTAACGTCAATGCTGCTGAGGGCTGTTGCAGATAGGCAGGTACAGTTCGTCGACGTAATTTAAATGAGATGTCCTGTGGCATTTTGTGTGTATTGTTGTGCTTCGGTTACCATTTGCCTTTGTGTCCTCAGTAGCTTCAGTTTACTATCATGGAGCAAAATATTTCACCCCAAATCGCATTTCGCTTTGCAAGGCTAAGGCTTTGACTGGTTATTGCTTGAACTAACTGGCGCATTAACTGTTCTGTAAACCTGGTCCTTTGTGCAACTGCAAACGCCAAATAGGTTACGCCCGGCAATTTTTTTTTTTTCGTGTACCTTTGCCTGCCGAGACATTGAAAGCGTCTCTGAAGTTTTTGTTGTCGTATATTTAAGGAGGCATTTTTTGTGAGGATTCAGGCGTTCTCCAAAATGAGTTGCCTCCGCCGGCTCCTTTACACTATTTAACTATGTGTGCCTGTTAAACAGGTTTAAGGGTATCCAGTTTTTTGCTGTTACATTACTTGGCCAGGCCAGCCTTTGTGATATAGATGCTTGTGGAGGTAGGACAACTTTTTGTTCACACTCTGCGCTGGTCTTCAACCCTGCGGGAAGAACTGTACAGCCGTATTTATGTATAAACACAGCTGCTTGTGACTTGTCTTGTTTGACCAGGCTAGGATCTTCTCTTGCTCTTGATGCGTTGTCCTACTTAAGTCCCCCCTAGCCAGCTGCTTCCATGTTTTTGCTGGGAAGCAGCATGTGCAGATGTGATGTACATAATGTTTCACAACAGTGTGACGTATATATAGTAGATGATTCACATACTATTATGATGTAAATATGATTGAATCGTGTGTAAGTAATCCCTCTCTGTCGCATGCAAATGGAAAAGTCTTGTCGAGTAGAGGGGCAACCTGTGTGTGCATGTGCTTTTTTTTTTCTCCCATTGTGAAGATGCGGCTAGTCAGTTTTTCTATGTTTATTCACATGCTGCACGGAGTGATGAGCAGCAGTCATTACATGACTGCTACTTTTGTGTGCAGTCATGCATACACAACCTCTGGAGACTTAATTTAGCATATGGCTGGGTGCCCATTGCATTGCAACGTCTTTAGTTTCCTTTTGTGCCATCCATCATATGTGTGCAGGGGCTGTGATGCTTTTTTTTTTTTTACCTCATTCTTTGTGATGAGTAAGGCACACTAGGGAACTGGGATGGAGTTTATGCTTAGTTGAAGTGCGACTAAAGTCTGTGTAATTTAAAATGTGCATGTAAAGTGGTGTTCATGTTCAGTGAGGGGACGCTAAATATTTCAATTTTTTTTGTCCTGGTTTCACGTGGTGCAAGGTAGTTTTTTTTTTTTAATGCTGCTGATGTGGCACTTGAAGAGACTTTAAGTAGTACAAAAGCCACACATTGTCATACAAGACATGTCCGTGCTTTTAGGGGGGTGAAAGTGGCTTTGTTTTATATGAATAATAATAATTGTTGGTGTTTTAACATTCGAAAACCACTATATGGTTGTCAGACACACCATAGGGGTGGGCTCTGGAAATTGCAAGCACCTAAGGTTCTTTAATTTGCACCTAAATCTAAGTACATAGGCTTCAAGTATTTTCACCTCCATCGAAGATTTCATATGAATGTCTTAACAGTACATGTCTCAGTTGGGTGGCAGCATTCATTACTGTTTAAAGCTTAGACAGGTTATGTGATGCTGTGCGAGGAGATGTGCTTGCTTAAATCTTAAGAGGATGCAAGATCTGTGCCACCTTTCCAACTGTGCTAGAGTCCCCTCAACGAATGTCGGTGTTGTCACATGCTTGTTTGGTGAGCGTTCATTTCCGCGAGTTGTGTGCGGTATTTTTTTTCTTCTGATTCAAGCATTGTGCAGCAAGTTATACGGGGCAGGCTTAAAAAGCATTGTGGATGCATTGTTTCAGTGTGTAGTAGATGCATGTGCACTTCAAACTGTCATATCGTATTCTCTTGTTGCTTCAAAGTGTCTGGTTGTGTTTCTTGTCAAATTTACGGGTTGTTTCTACTGCTCATTTTTCGTCGTGACCATAGTAGAGAGACACCATAAAAAAAACACCGTGGTTTAGGGTGGGCTGTTTTCGTGCATGTTAAGCAATTGGCAGTGAATGGCAACTGCTCTCTACAGTCGTGTACAACTATAAAAGGCTGGCGCATTTCGGCCTCCAACGCGGATGCACAGAAGCCTGCACCAATAAATGCGTGCTCTAGCTGTCGCAAGCCCGGCGGCGGTGACCCCTCCGTGTGGCATAGCCAGATTTTTTAATGGGATGGGGGTCAGCTGTCTTTATGTGCGTGCATGCATTTGTATGTGTGGGTATGCACAATCAGAGTAGTGGTCTGACACGAATTTTAAAAATTCCCCGACCGAATTTTGTTGCATCTAGTTCGAATGTGCCGAACACTTTTCTGCACTACTAACTTGGGTACCAAGACCTTCGAGCCATGGCCGCAGCGCCGTACTCCTGTAGTATGATTGATTGATATGTGGGGTTTAACGTCCCAAAACCACTATTTGATTATGAGAGACGCCGTAGTGGAGGGCTCCGGAAATTTTGACCACCTGGGGTTCTTTAGCGTGCACCCAAATCTGAGCACACAGGCCTACAACATTTCCGCCTCCATCGGAAATGCAGCCGCCGCAGCCGGGATACGAACCCGCGCCCTGCGGGTCAGCAGCCGAGTGCCTTAGCCACTAGACCACCGCGGCGGGGCTCCGGTAGTATGCGTGGCTGGCTTACCACTGCTGCGAATGGACCCACGGTCACTATCGACGCGAGCAGTAGACGCGATCATAGCCACAACGCACTTCTGAACGCAAGTGCGCGGCCAGCGCACACAGTAAGATAAGCTACTGTTTGCATCAGCTGCTCACTAAACCGTTGTCGCTATATCCACGCGAGCATGTATGGTAACCGAGGAAACTGAAAGCACAAGTGCATTCAGCGCTTGCAGAGTCTAAGGGATGCTGCCTGCCGCTAAGTTCGCAGACGGAACCATGGTAAGCGCGATCATGGCAACCACGCAGTCCCAAAGGCACGTGAGCTACGAACGCACAAGGGCTGAAAACGAAACTGCCTTTTACTTCAGCCACCGCTCTCAAAAATGGGGTCGCTGTGAGTGCGATTGCCAATGAGACTAAGCAGGCCTGAAGGTATGCGCTATCGTGGCGTCAAAGAAGTAACAAGACTCGAAGCGTTTTGGTGCGCTCCAGTCGTTTGCTTATAACTCTTGTGAAGTTTACTTTGGCTCGTTTTAAGTTGGTCTCTAGTGAAGCTTTCACATGCACGTTCACGCAGCTGCCATCCCTTAGCGGTCGTCCGTTCGCGTGTGCCCCGTAAAGGCATATTGGGGTTCCAAAGTGGATTTCGCTAGTTTTTTCGTGGCATGAAATTTCGGGTAAAACAAGCATTTTTGCTCCCCTTTGAGGTTCGTATCGCGGGTAATTTAGTGCATTTCGTGAATGCAATCAGCTGCCACTGTGCGCTCTCCTGGGCAGAGGAAGTCTTGCCTTCTATAATGGGCCAGAAACCATACCTCGGGCCTAGTGAAAAAACATGTTGTGGAAAGCAGACACTCCTACTAACAACTGATCTAAGTCTTGCAGTCGTGTGTGGCAAGGAGAGTTTAGAAGTGGAGCGTCAATTTCTCAGGCGGCCTTTTTCTTAGCGAGTCCTGTGCTCAATCTGCGAGCTAACGGCGCCTCCTGCTCGGCGTCGCACAATGGATGGCATTCTAACGGCCAAATTCCAACATGAATCATAGTTTGGATAAAATACGCCTCTTGTCATCAGGTGCCGCCACGTATTTTTTTCATGCTCAATAGTCTGTTAACATTTCACAGCCTCACCAGCGTGCAGGAAAACCAATAGGGAAAAGCGATCGCATTTCATCACGCGCACTGGCGTATCTTCTTTACCCTGTGCCATATTGTGTAGTTTCTTCGCGCTCGTAGGGAGGAGACAAGAAAGCACTTAGCGACAAATCACTTTGGTCGTTTTTGATGGATTCCAGATATTTTTGCGGCAATCGCTTTTTGAGTAAGCTGATACTGAGGTCATACAATGATTACTTGGAAGAGTGGTTCAGGCCCCATTCAAGTTGCTACCGACTGTAGACAGTTGCCCTCTTCCTTGGCACGGAAAGCCTACAGACGTAAATGCTGAAGCGTGCGAGACCACGCATGTAATTATTTTGATGCTGGCTCTGATATTTTTTGTTTATTTATTTTATTGATGTTATTTGTTGCTGTTATAGTAAATGTGAAAAATTGACAACTGGGCTTTAGTTGTGCTGCCAGGCCTGCATGGGATGTGGTTGCTGAATTGGTGCGAAGGCGATTTATTCACTGTGTTCAAAATGTTGCCACTGCACGTGCTTTTAGCTTCAGCAGCGTCCCACCTACAGTATATCTGTAGCAGGTGAGGCAGTTTGCCTTGCCCCCTCTCTCAGCACTCTTATGGTTCAAAGTGCACTCGTGCTGCTTTTGACATGCTGTTTAGGAAAGTTGACATCATAAGCTGTCACTGCAGGAATCTTACCAATGAAATGTTGGGGAATAATTCGTGCTTTGTAATTTCCCCTAATGTGGTTGGGTGTTGGTCTGTGTGGTGCCTTTTTATCGACCTTATCATGGACTGCATGGCATTCAAATGTTCTTGCTGTTTTCGTGTTTACCAGGAATTTTTTTAATGAACACAAATGTAGCCTTTTAAAAAAATTCTGTTAGAAACTGCAACCTAATGGCCACAACGAATTCAAGTCATTGTGTCCTTCTCGTGTGTACCAGTGCATTATCCTTTGACTGAGCTGGGAAAGAACATGACTGAATCATCCCACTATAGATTTGAACTTGAATGGCACCTACTGACATCAGTGGGCGAACCTGATGCTTGCAGATCATGGATAGTAATTAATGTGATGGTGCCGCTGTTTATTTTGCAAGCTGTTTCTTTTATCAAAGTGATTTACAGAAATTATCTTCGAAGGCTGCTGGAGAGAGCATTTATTCAGGCCTTTTTTATTTTGAACTGGAGAACAATTGGGTTCTCTACCATTTTTTATCATTATGTGACTCTCAAGCAGTTTGTGTGACCAGTGTGCATTGTCACGAGCCGAGGGCATGATGTACGCAATCTGCCTCCATCTGGCAGTGCCAACTGTGATGCATTGGGCATTGTGCCTGCCCTGCTTGCCTGCTGGTTCCCTGTAGCGAAATCTCGACTGATGTATGCCCTTGTCGACGAGTGGGGCTCGATTGTTTTGCAAAGCGCAAATAAAAGTGGCATTCTGCTCTTGAACTAGTGGTTGTTTGTTGTTTCACAGTTTTAAGGTGAAAGCCCTATATGCTTGATTAAACGCGAAAGACCATCGGCGGTGTCAATGTCAATGTGAGTGATGCAAGATATCATGCGATGACATCATCATGATGTCGGAGACCGCCCTAATTTGTTACATCATGACATCGTCGCTTGGTCAAAGGGGGGCCGATACTGGAGGCCGTTCAAAACTAGGCACAGTGTGAAAAGCTTGCGATGCCTACAATCCTAGAGGTCTGGTGCAGAAGGATGGATTTGTAGATTGAGAAGGAAAAGGAGGCGGCTTTCGCTTTCGACTTGTCTCAAGGCGAACGAGTTAGGGATTCTGCGAGTTCACCGTGTGGAAATAAGCCTCGCCTTCAGAACTGTGATAGCGTAGTCGGTACTCGTCCGCATTGTCTTCTCAATTGCTAGCTAGACTTCGCTTCTCAGTGGACACCACGACCGTTCAACTAGGAAAGTCTGTTTGCGCATCTTGATGCTGTCCCTGCTACTGCTGCTGCTGATGATTAATTATAGCTGATCCCATTGTAATGGATGGGCTTTTAAGCCACCCATTTCATTTCCACTTCAATTCATTTGTCTGACGTGTGATGTCATTCTACGCTCCTGCCACGCAATCGGGGGCTCTGGAACCAGGGGAGGGAGTCGCCCAAAAGATTCAAAACCACTAGGGTCATGCCCCTACACTACTGTTCTAACAACCCCCCCACCTCCCACGCCTTTTTTTTTTCCTCTGTACCTAACGTGAAGCTAGAGGCTCCTTTTAAAATCCTAGAAGTATATGACTTCTGGAACTCTATTTCTCGGTACTTCGTCCTCGTAAACCACCTGTTTCAACGTATCTTCCATCCTGAAAGTAAACATTCGACAGGAGTCTGTCTGGTTGGGTATGAAACTGGGAGATGATTTAGACTCCAACCAAAAGTTTTGAAGAAACCCGACGTTTCAGAACTGACTTGGTTTCTTCCTCAGGGGTGACTGTGGAGGCTACTACTAGCAGCGTTGTCTTCAAAGCACTCGCGGGGTGGCTAATGACCCCCCCCTCCCCCCTCTCTCTCTCGTTTTGCCGTGGAGCGCAGTCCGTGTGAATACACTGGAAGAAGGGTTCCGAGAGAGCGGTTGATATTATGGGCTGTCCTCTGTATGTGCCAGGACTCGAGTAACAACCTTCTCCTCCAGTTCGGCTCGCTTTCAAGGATGGCCGTCGCTTCGAAATTTATTTTGTGATCCAACTTCTCAGCATGTTCGGCGACTGCGCTCTTTGTAGAAATTCCGCACATCGTTGGCGTGTTGCTTCAGTCGTTCTGGTAGGTTTTTCGTCTCGCCGATGTACGACGAGGGGCACTCGGCACACGGAATTTCGTAAACGACCCCGGGGCGCCTGTCCATTGTTGGCTGGTCTTTCGTGCGGGGGAGGAGGCAGCCCAGTGTTGTTGTTGTTGTTAGTGGTTCATGAGGAAAAGGAAGAAGGCACCTAATTTCTGTCTGCCTACAGGCGACACGGCACAGTGCCTTTGGGGTGGGGTAGAGGGGGATGAAAGAGGATAGGAGAAATAGTGTGTGGTGTGTAGGAGGGATGTCCGGTCCGCTTCAGCGCAGGCCGTCGGCAAGGGCAAGGGCAGCAGGGCTCCTGGGGTCAGCGATAGGCAGCAATTCCTGACTCCTCCACAAACTCCGCCAGGCTGCGGAGTGCTGCTGGATGTGGATGAGACGGGAACAGCAGGTTTTCCAGGGTGGAGACGGGCAGACCCTGTCTCCTGTAGGCCGCGTAGGCCCTCAAGCGTTCCTGTGCTAAGCCAGGGCAGGCACAGAGGAGGTGTTCGATGGTCTCTGGGTCTCCGCAACGACTGCAGGCCGGGGAGGGGCAGAGTCCCTTGGCGTGGCGGCGGGCCGCCGTCCACACGCAGCCAGTCCGCAGTCGCAACAGGGAGGCCCGTTCTCTCCTGGTGAGGCCCGTCTCTGGGAGAGGCTTTGGTCCTCGCCCGCTGGCCACCCTCGGGTCTGGGTGGACTGTGATGAGGAGCCTCTTGAGACGGGCCTGTGAATAGTCCCTGGCCGCCACGGCACAGGAGTAGGGAGTACCAGGCTGGTGGGCAGCCTTGGCGAGGGTGTCCGCCTTCTCGTTTCCAGCGATGCCCACGTGGGAGGGCAGCCAGTGGAAGGAGACGGACACCCCGGCGTCGGTGAGGGCGCGAACCTTGGCTCTCAGGAGGCAGGCCGTCAGTCCGGCACGGCGGGAGTTGGCCAGGGTCTGCAGGGCCGCCTTGCTGTCGCATAGAACCGCGGCCGGCTGAAGGGGGATGTCCTCAGCCAGCAGGTCTACTGCGAGATGCAGTCCAGCCAGTTCCGCAGCCGTGGAGCTCGCCGGGAAGGGAAGCCTGCACTGCCGGCTGTTGGTTCTGGACGGGATTACGCATGCGGCCGCTGCGGTCCCGTCTGGCATCACAGATCCGTCCGTGAACACCTGCAGCCGTCCCTCCAGTTGTTCCTGGAGCTTGCAGAAGGCCGCCTGTTGCAGTGCGGCCGCAGGCGTTCGTCGCTTGGTTGCCCCTTCCAAGCAGAGGTGGACCTCTGGTGGCTGGTGGTGAGGCGGTGGAGAGGCAACCGGAACTGGCGGATCTGGGACCATTTGGTGGTACAGCAGGCAGAGGCCTCCCATCCGTGATCCTGGCTGGCTGCGGAGACGCTCCAGGAGGGCCCTGCCGTCGGTGGCGCGGTGAAGGCGGTCAATGTGGCCCAGCGCTCGTTGCAGCATACGTAACGACAGGGGCCACTCTCCTGCCTCTGCGAGAGTTGCTGCCACCGGCGAGCTTTTGGGAAGCCCCAGGATGGCCCTCAGTGCACCCCTGTGGAGTCCCTCCAGCAGGCATCTCCTGGCCGGTGTCAGGCTCACCAGCGGGAAGGCGTACAGGAGGACCGAGGACGCCGCAGCCTGGTTGAGCCGGAGGGCCCACTTGGTGGAGCAGCCGCGGCCACGCAGCTGCAGCCTGCTGATGGCGCCCTGGACGCGCCGCACCTTGGTGGCAGCAGCCTTGGCAGCCGGGATCCAGGTGAGTCGGTGGTCGATGGTGAGGCCTAGGTACTTCACCACCAACCTCCAAGGCAGGCTGCGATTGCCAATCCTCAGCCGTCTCACGTGGGTGCGTGCTGCCGCCAGCGGGTGAATCAGCAGGGCCTCGGTCTTTGTGGCAGAGACCTTGAGCCCGATGCCTCCGAGGTAGGCTACCACTGCATCGAGGACCGCCTGCAGTGATCTCCTGATGGCGGGGATGGACCGCCTTGGTCCCCGGACCCAGAGTGCCACGTCATCTGCGTAGATAGAGCAGCGGGCCGGGAACCTGGTGTCTGTTGGGAGGGACGCCGGAAGTCCTGCCAGTGCGATGTTGAAGAGGAAGGGGCTCAGTACTGAACCCTGTGGGACACCAGCAGTGATGGCCCTGGGTTGGCTGGTTGCCCCTCCAACGCGGACGCGGAAGGTCCTCCCGGACAGGAAGGCGGTCACGAAGCCTCGGAGGCTACCGCTGACGCCGAGGCGGTCCAGGGCCGCCTCGACCGCCACGTGTGGGAGTCCGTCGAAGGCGCTCTCCACGTCCAGCAGCAGCAGCATGGCCACGTCCCCGCTGCTCCTGGCGTCCTCGAGGGTAGCGACGACGTCCGAGATGGAATCTGCCGTGCACCGGTGCCGCCTGAAGCCCGTCTGCTGCTCCGGGAAGAAGCCCAGGTGGTCGGCAATCCACTCCAGTCTCTCCAGAGCCACCCTCTCCATCACCTTGCAGGGCGCAGAGGTGAGAGACACTGGCCGGTATGAGGAGAGAGCCGTGGCCTTCCTCCGGGGCTTCAGGATTGGCGCCACCACCGCAGTTTGCCAGGACTCGGGTAAGGCTCCGGTGCACCAGACGTCATTGTAGTATTCCAGGAGTCGTTGACGGCCACCTCCATCCAGGTTGCGGAGCATTTGGAAGGTGATGCCTGTCGGCCCCTGGAGCACTTCGTCGCTTGGTCCTCTCGAGGGCTGCCACCAGCTCATGTATCGCTATGGGCTCTTCGCACAGCTCCCGCACCTGCGCGGACACCCATCTGGGATGGTGACAAGAGGTAGGGCAAGGGAGGGCAGCAGGCGGTGGTGCAGCAGGCAGTGGGGCTCTATCTCTGGCAGCAAACTGGTCAGCCAGCCGTTCTGCCAGGTTCGCAGCCGTGGTCGACAGGTGAACAGCCAGGGACAGTCCCTGGTTCAAGGCCCGGGGCGCCATCAGCAGGCACTTCAGCAGGCGCCAGGCCTTCGTCCCATCCCGCGAGCTGTTGATCGAGGCGCACACGCCCTGCCAGCCCTGGTTCCGGCGCCTGCGTGCGTGGCGTCTGCAGACGGCATCGATTCGCCGGAAGACCGTCCAGAGCTCCGGTTGGCGTTTGTTCAGGGCTTGCCGCTCTGCACGTCGCCGTGCCGCCCTCAGAGCCAGGTGCCGGATGTCTGGGACGGGCTGTCCCTGCTGAACCTTGGCAGTGACCGTTGCTGCCCTCGCACTGTGGGCCACCAGTTGCAGCAGGTCCCCGCTGCTCGTGTCCTGCTGGAGTAGTCGCCGGTAGACCTGCCAGTCCACCACGCGGTACTCGCGGTCCCGCGGAGCCCTACCTCTGAAGGGAGACAGCAGGATGGGCAGGTGGTCCGAGCCCCAAGTGTCCGGGAATGGCGACCAGGCATACTGGCAACCCTCCGTGGCAACGCTGAGGTCTATGGCAGTGCTGGTGACCTGCTGCCCACGACGGAGGAAGGTGTTGGCACCCGAGTTGAGGATCGCCAGCCCCAGCTGCTGGAGGACATCACGCAGCTCTCTGCCTCGAGCGTCAGTCCTGCGGCCGCCCCATGCTGGGTGTTTCGCATTGACGTACCCGCAAAGCAGGAACTCCTTGCCCAGGCGATGCGCCAGCTGACGAAGGCATCTGGGGTCCCAGGGCTGGCCCGGCCGAACGTAGATGCTGGC